GTTGTGCTTATCACCAGATTTATACAGTGGAATAACCTTTGCTATTTTCATATTATTAGGGAACTGCCCAAGTCGAAATGACATGTTAAAAACATGGGTTAATGGTTTGCATATCCCCTCAATTGCCCATTTAACCATTGTCATAGTGATACCATCACTATCACTGGATGATTTATTACCACATTTGTTCACTATCTCTATAATTTCCTTTTCAACTATTGGCTTCAGAAACATAGAACACATATTCCTTTCAATTGTATTGTTATTTATAATGACGTCTGTACAATTTGGTAACACAGTAAGCAAGAACATTACAACAGCAGGTTGTCTATGCATAAAATAATAATAACAACATAAAGACAGAAAGAGAAAGCAATACCAAAAGCCTGAAGGTCTAGGTCATATGAGCAGACATGTAAGGAGTTCACCACCAGTGGGAAGCAGAAGACACACCAGACTGTGATCACCTGCTCACATGTGCATCAGGCCTGCATCTCTGTCTCTGTATTTGATATGCTGCTGCACATTAAAGTAACTGCAGGTAATAATGCAAAGGAGAACCAGGCGTTTACTGTAACATGAGGGGGCAGTTATTAATTTAGTTATTTACGTTGTACAGCACTGTGGTCCACTTTGGTTGCTTTTAGTGCTTTATAAATAAAGTTGGAATGAACACAGAAATAAACACCCAAATACTAAACTGGACCAGCCAGATCCAGTTTTATGCTGTTAGGTCTAGCTAATAAGGAAGGAACATAATATAGTGTGGGCAGCACGGTGGCACAGTGGTTAGCGCCGTTGCCTCACAGCGAGAAGGTTCCGGGTTCGGACCCCACCTGGGACCTTTCTGTGTGGAGTTTGCATGTTCTCCCCGTGCTTGCGTGGGTTCTCTCCGGGTACTCCGGCTTCCTCCCACTGACCAAAGACATGCAGCTTAGGTTGATTGGTGTCTCTAAATTGCCCATAGGAGTGCGTGCGTGCGTGTATGTGTGGTTGTTCATCTATGTGTTAGCCCTGCGATGGATTGGCGACCTGTCCAGGGTGTACCCCGCCTTCGCCCGATTGCCGGCCGGGATTGGCTCCGGCCCCACCCGTGACCCCGCTCAGGGACTAAGCGGTAGAAAATGAATGAATGAATAATATAGTGTAGTATTTTATAATACAATGTGCAGTCATACAGTACAGTCAAGGGTCATGTGAATTACAAAGCTGAGTTTTCATGGGCCTGAACGTAACAAAAACATACAAAAGACCAAGAACCTGATGATCCCACAATATACTAATAATGATAATGGAGTATATTGTACCTTTCTATTGTGAGTGAATCCTGCCTTTCAAAGACTTAAGGACACCCAGGTAGGCCTACTGTTTTGAATTCATTTCACTTTTATTTGGTCATGGGCCACAAACTAAAAGCAAACTTAAATTTGCAAGTGATTTTATATCCAGGGTCAATGGACAACACACATGCACAAGCACACACAAAGAAGAAACAAACATGTTACAATAATGTATCATAAGAAACAAAAAGGCAGAGAACAGTGCACAAACAACAACAATGAAAGCCTTAAAAAACAAACATGTCCCTGTGTTTACCTTTAGTAACTATGGAACAAAGAGCTACCGTGCTTTGCCTTTATGCAAATTCAATGACTGTGTGACCACAAACATTAGGGCAATTTACTTCACAATGGAAATGAGTGCTTACTAACATACATCACTGACTAAGCCTCAAGTGGAACAGAAATGGTTGTTTTAGTGTTTGTTATTTACAGTTATGTTTAATGTGAATATTCCTGTGTGTGGTTGCACAAATGGTCGGCTTGTTATTTCTACAGTAAGTGCTTCCCTCAAGTGGACAAACTGGGAAAGTGTAGTAACCTGGTATTACACACACATGTTCTACTGAGTTACAGTACCTCCAGCAGTTTGTTTGCATAGTGATGTAATCATATGTCCTGTGCAGCATCTTCTCTCCTATTCCTCATTTATCTGCTGCCTGTCCGCACGCAAGGTTTTAATGATTGCTTACTCGGCACTTTCATAACACGTAGTTGCTGTTTACACCAACATCATGAAACATGTAATAATGCATGCTTGTGTGCATATGTGGCAAATTATTTTTGGTGAATTATTTGAAGTACTCTGTACTATATAATACACCGTCATGCTGCAGATAATGTGTGTGAGGTTCAGTTACTGAGGGCAGAACAAGAATAGATTTCAAGGGTTAGAGTAGATCAGACGTTTCAGACAGCAGCTTCACTTAGATTTGACAAAGGATTTCAATAGAGAATAGAGCCCAGCTGCTCTGGGTATACAGTATTTACTAAGCAGCATTTTCATCATTGCTCAAAGAATCTCACTCCTTTGTTACCATTGTGTTCATATCCTCTTCTGCTTCCTTTCCCCCTGAAGCAAAAATAATAATAATAAATAAATAAAATAATTCGTAACATACTGTATTTTCAGTCTGAAGTCTGCATTTTCATGTTATGTTTTTACACCAGTGAGTTGAAACATTACTTACTGTAGCACCTCTGGAAGGTCTCAGATTTCCACAGCATAAGGAACAACACACCAAACACCAACAGGGTTCCAAAGAAGCCCCCGATAGTACAGCCAATGAGAGTGGTGTAACTAGTGCCAACATTGCCAATGCCTAGGGGAGAAATAAACAGGATAAAGCAGGGACGGAGAAAGGCACAGGTAAAAGGCAAGAAAAAAGTGGGTGGACAATAAAAAAAAAAGATGTCTGAGGTGAACAGAGAGGGAACAAAGCTCTCACATCTTTACACTTCCTACAGTGCATGCTTGAAGACTTATTTCTGAGAAGGGGAACATATCACACATACAAAAAGCACCACATTAACATAAATATAGCAAAAACAAAACACTGAGAAAGCAAAAAATTAACTTGACTGTGTGAGATATTCCTTGAAGAGGAAACTACCAGCTGTTATGGAAGAGAGCAACTGGAATGACCTGCATATAGAAAATCTAATCTAAACCAGAAACGTCCTCCCAGAGACCACTGTGACATATTATTCTGTGATTATAGGATGTTTTGATTTGATTTGTCAGAAGCAACAGAGCTGGACTGAAAGCTGGCTATCTTTATATTTACATGAGCTACATGTACTGTAGATTAATTAAAAGAATGGATTAAGTTATTTAAACATGCATTTTTACTGTTTAGACATACTGAGATGGTTAAAAATCACTGATGCCCCTCTTTGCATCTTGAGCCAAACTGAGCCAAAACAGGCAAAAAAGCTGATAAGTGCAGTTTTGATGGTGGGCGGTGACGACAGGCTTCACTTTAGCTTAAAGACATACAGTATATCAAATTAAATGTGATCAGGAGCTATTTAGATGAATGAGACAGAGGAGTCTTTACTGTAAACATGCAGGAAAGCAGCAGGTGCGTCCGGACCACTGCGCTGCTGACATACGACTTGTGCGCCATCATCAGAGAGAGAAGTTCCCCAGAGGGTCCACACAGCCAACGACTCTCCGTTCTTCATATCACAACTTCCGAGAGCCTGCGGAGAGAGACAGAGAGGGAAACTGAAAGGAGCTCAGAAAACAAGCCAGGGAAGATAAAGTAAAAGATTGACATAAATATAAACACAGTGTGGGCTGGGATAGACTCCAGCCTGTCTTGACCCGTTCTGCACAGAATGGATGGGCAGAGAGGGTGGAGAGATGCTGCAGCAGAGGCTGGTCAACATGCCACTGGCATTCACTTTACAATGTTCACACATTTATAATGATAAACATTGCCCAAATAAAAAATGAGAATGCTGTCATGATTCGGTTCCGCTGCTTCCTGTCCGGCTTTTATTTTGACGTTACTTCCTGTTTTTGTTTCACCTTAGTTTCGGTCTTTTTACGTTCTTCATCACTCACATTAGATTCACCTGCTCCCGATTAGTTTGCACCACGTTATAAGCAGCCTTCACCCATTAATCCCTGCCAGATTGTCCTAGACCCCAGCTCTGACTTTCCAGCATTCTCTTCGGTATTGGTATTTTTGTG